ACAAACTCATTTATATATACTTTACTCTGAACACCTCCCACAGATACATACCTATGTATGAACACCAAATTTCAAGTTCATGTGGCTTATGGTTCCCAATTTATGGCTGATTAAAAATTCCACGCCTACGGGATGTGCCACGCCCCCTTTTATAAACACATTAATATATACCTTACTATAAGCTCCTACCATTGATATGTCTGCATACCAAATTTAAGTTTCATGTGAATTATGGTTTTGAAGTTATAGCTGATAAAAATTTTCACGCCTATGGGATTTGCCACGCCATCTTTTACATACTTATTTATATTTATCTTTTTATAAGCACCTACCATAGCTACACCTGCATACAAAATTTCAAGTTTGTGCGACCTATGGTTCCGAGGTTATACCTTATAAAAAAATTCCACGCCTATGGGATGTGCCACGCCCCCTTTTACAAACTCGTTTATATATACCCTCCCATAGGCACCTACCATTGATATGTCTGCATATTAAATTTCAAGTTCGAGGGACTTATGGTTCCGAAGTTATAGATGACAAAAAAATCCACGACTATGGGATGCACCACGCCCCCTTTTACAAACTCATTTATATAGACCTTATTATAAGCACCTACCAAATATGTATATAACTGCATACCAAACTTAAAGTTGATGCGACATATGGTTCAGAAGTTATAGCTGATAAACCTTGCAACGAATATGGGATATGCCACGGCCCCTTTCACAAACTCTTTTATATATACCCTCCTATAAACACCTACCATTGATATGCCTGCACACAAAATTTCAAGTTCGTGGGGCTTATGGTTCCGAAGTTATAGCTGATAAAGGATTCCACGCCTATAGGATGCGCTACGCCCCCTTTTACAAACTCATTTATATAAACTCTCATATAAGCACCTACTATTGATATGTCTTCATACCAAATTTCAAGTTCATGGGGCTTATGGTTCCGAAGTTATAGCTGATAAAATATTCCACGCCTAGGGGATGTGCCACGCCCCCTTTTACAAACTCGTTTATATATACCCTCGTATAAGCGCCTACCATAGACATGCCTGCATGCCAAACTTCAAGTTCGTGTGACTTATGGTTCCGAAGTTATAGTTGATAAAAAATTCAACGCCTATGACATGTGCCACGCCCCCTTTTACAAACTCGTTTATAT